ACAACAAGCACAAGTGCGCTCGGGTATAAAAATGTTAAATAAAATAAAACAAACGAAAATGAAATAAATAAGGAAAATGAATTAGCAACAAGAGTTTACGGGATGTACATAGCTCAGTGGTTAACGCTTCTGACTTTGAACATCGAATTCGCAGGTTCGATCCCTGCTGAAGTCTAGAAAAAGAAGTCTGATGAGGAGATGTGGTGATCTCCGAAATAGTGCTATAACTTCTACCGCTTAGACTTTGTTGCTTTTTCAATTTTTCCTAATAAACAATCGTGGTACAAAGCTCAATAAAAATATTAAAAATAAAATGTTAACAAGCCACAATAACATTGACAAATACATAGTTTAGGAAGAGCCTGCCTGAAACTATACAAAAAAGCAAATAAGCAAATGGATGTATAGAATTGACAACAACAACCACGCTGTCGAGTTTAAATAGCGGCAAATCAGCTGCACTTGATAGTAGTTGGTTGAATAAGGAAAATGAATTAGCAACAAGAGTTTACGGGATGTACATAGCTCAGTGGTTAACGCTTCTGACTTTGAACATCGAATTCGCAGGTTCGATTCCTGCTGAAGTCTAGAAAAAATAAGTCTGATGAGGAGATGTGGTGATCTCCGAAATAGCTGCTATAACTTCTAGCGCTTAGACTTTGTTGCTTTTTCAATTTTTCCTAATAAACAAAGCTCAATAAAAATATTTAAAAAAAAAAAATGTTATAGCATTTTGGTTTATGTATTTCCTAATGAAATTGTTGTTGAACAAATATTTCTTCGTCTCATTTTCGTTTCGTTTTTTACATAAAACAGAACGCAATTATCTTTTCCTCCATATTTTTCTTTTTGTGACCAGCTCATAGCCAGCAGACAAATTAGTGACTTTTTTTTAGACTAGAGACTTGAGACTGCTTACTGGATCCCAGAGTTAATCAATTAATTTTGCATTAAGATTTGCATATGAATTTAATTGCTGAAAGTTATTAGATAAAATGAAGAAAATTGCATAATTAATGCTACAGAAATTTATATTATTTAGAAAGTACAAGTTATTAATGCTCGATTTTTTTTTTTTTGTATGGAAGAAAATAATAAAGTCAGCAAAAGAAAAATATCAAAAATAAACGCGAATTCATAGCCTCTTGAAACTGGCATGGGCTACGAAACTGCATACTTGGAATTTTTCTTAAAATTACGAATACATTTTTTTTGAATCTTTCTACAACGTTCGATATGCGGGTTTATATGGTGTTTATATATTACAAATTAACTAGACTTTGATAAAAAAAAAAATTAATAAACATTAAGCTAACAAAAGAGAAATACATAGTAAAAACCTATTTTACCTATTTTACACATTACTGTGTGTAATGCATTTTTATAAGCGCCCAAACCAGTTAGAAAAAATACTACACCTTTTCCAAGAGTACTTCAGACAGCGTCAAATGTATTTCAGAAACTATAAAATGTACTTCAGAATAGTCAATTGTACTTCAGGAAACGTAAAATGT